ACGATTTGGGATTTCGCGATTGAAAGCGAAATGATTTGTGCGATGTCGCCATGTCGGGCTATTTGCCAACCGTGCGCGCTAGCCGCTGTTGTTTTGACAGAATATGATACCTCTACACTTTTCAGCCGTAATCAATAATGCGCGGATTGTAATCATATACATATCGTTTAATTTAGCTTCAAAAACTTATTTTGTTAAATGTAAAATGCGCAGCATGTTGCGTACATTAATATCAAAGAAAAAAGGTTGACTTTATTAGACTGAAATAAGCAAGATTTCCCGTTACATACATGATTTATACCGAGGTGGCTTTGCATGTGGTCTGCCTCTGGCAACTATGACACCATTGCACTCCGCGGGAACCAACACGAATAACATGTTTTTTATCAAGTTTTTGAAGCTAAATTAAACGATATGTATATGATTACAATGCGCACTGAAAATTACGGTTGAAAAGTGTAGAGGTAGTGTAGAGGTATCATATTCTGTCGAAATAACAGCGGCTAGCGCGCTCGGTTGGCAATTAGCCCGACATATCACACAAATCATTTCGGTTTTCAATCGGGAAATCCCAAATCGTAGCAATTTATGGAATATTTCAAAACGCCACATACACATCACACATGAAATGTTTGTCGACCTTTAAGGGCCACGAACATATACTAGGTCTGGGAGATAAAATAGCAAAATTTGAGGCTCGAGCGTTGGCCACTAATTATACCGAGGCACTGCAGCGTAAAATTTATAGCTCAATAGACAATATGAATTTGTATCAGACATATGCAATCGACATAGTTATTCGCGACGTTCATGATAGGGACTATAACACTTCCAAAGCTAACTGATAAACCTATATCCTATAACTAATTAAGACATTTTATCATCAACTTATATTCTATAGGCTTATTAGACTATACGAAACGGGAACAAAATCAAACATTTACTTGTTATACTATAGATAACAGCAAGATAAGAAATTATTTTATTACTGGAGATTTGCTGCGTTAAATTTTCCTGTATTTATCTAGCGCATAAAATGAAAAAGTACGAAAAAAATATTAAAGATAAAAATATGAAAAAATGCGTTTTTAGTACATTTTATGACCCACGACTTTACCCACGACTTTACCCACAACACACGACTTTTAACCCACGACACGCGACACACGACATATAGGGACACTCTGTATAAGTGTGCATTCGACATTTATTTTCTTTGCGTTGATAAATAATGGCTACACTTCAAGGTGTAAAACAGACCTCCAGCCATGCAAATTATATCAAGTAGGTGTAAAAAGCTTTCAAGCGGTGACATATTTCATAAAAGATAACACAAAAACCGACAAAACCCAAAATATGGGTTAATACAGAGCGTAAATGGCCGTATTTTCCATAGGCATAGTTATAGTTTTTTCGTTTTCGCTCTTGAATTCCCCCTACCACTCCTCCCTAAGTGGCAAAGAGGCGCCAATTCGAATTACCCCTAAAATCTGGGGGTTCACGTGACCAGAGAGAACCAGGGACTTCGCCGGAGCCCGAGCGTAGGTAAAAGACCCTGGCTTGCGAGGTTGGGAGCTGACTGGTTTGCTTGCTCTTTTGCTTTATTTACATATTGTTTCTATTCTGAATACGCAGAGAAATCCCCGCATCATCTTATTGCAAGTTTGTTTAATACTATTTGGGTTGCTGTCGTTGGTTCTTGTTTGACAATTGACGTGCGAATGGGGCGTGTTATGAAAAGGGGCGTTTTACAAAACACCCGGTCTTCCTTGCAGGCCCACTATTCTTCCCTCGGTGGGCCTGCACGCGGGCTAGATAAGCATGGACAGTATTCACTGTAAAGCAAGGGCGGATTTACATGTGTGTAAAACGAGGGCTAGAAAAATTTCTAGTGGGGTGCAAGCGGCACCACTCAGTGAGCTTCAGCAGTGGTTAGGCGTTTGGGTTAAAGCCTTTCACACAAAATAGGAGGGGTGAAGTGAAATTTTGGTGGGGTTGAACACTTTATTGGAGGGGTTAGAGAGATCCTAGGGGGCAAATTCACTGAGGAGGGGGGGGGTGTTAACCCTATGCTGTAAAGTAACAAAGTGGTCCTGTCGTACTGTAGTTAAACAGGCATTAATTACTATATCGTACCTTGTGAAGAGTAGATATCGAACACCCAATCACCTTCATGGCTAAACATTCTTATTAGATCATTTAACCAACCACATGCATTCCTCTGTCCTTGATTAATTAACCAAATGCATTCCTCTGTCCTTGATTAATTAAATTTGATGGACAACTTTGAAATGGTCCAGCAGTAACTTATCACCAACACAAGCATGGCACACCATAAAAGCACTAACTGACTGCACCATAGCAAAGTTTCCTAAGCCACAAGTAATACATGTAGATTAGACAGTGCAGTTCACGAATAAAGTGGGGCGCATTACCAGTCAATGGATTAACAGGAGAAATTCACAGATAGAGAATGTTAGCACATTAAGCTGCCAGACTCTAACACCTTGACAAGTAATATCATCTGGCATTAGACAAAGTAAAAGAATAGCATTGGGTGCATTTGAGCACATTGTCAGTCAATGGGTATTTGTATTACAAATATGGAAACTGCAGTACATAATTACCCCTTTGACAATGCCTAGAAAATTGTAAACATTTAACATTTATTCGCCGAAGTGATTATCGGGGAATATTCGCCAAGACGAAGTCGAGGTGAATATTCCCTGAGCCTGAGGCGAATAATTGTTTATTTTTACACAAGTCTTTTGTGTTTTTCGGACTGAATTTATTTTAATTTTGCTTACTGTATTTCTTTACTAGTAACTTCCACAAAATGGCTGGCTGCCGTTTTGAAAATTTTGGTTTTGTGTTCACTTAAAGTGGATTCGAGAGCTTTCGGCCAATATTTTGAGCCATGTACTTTGCAAAACATCGAGATCGAGTTGCAGAGACTGACATAAACCTACCCTTCTTGACTCCTTTTGGCATTAGTTACTGCATGTAATTATTTACTTACTGTACGTTTTCCAGAACTATGAAAATTGTTTAATCATACCAATATACATCACTCTGAACACTCCCAGTAAGGTGAAGACCATTTGCGTTCGTATAAGCGAGAATTAAGCCGTTTCAAAACTTTGTACACGTTTTTGGTTCGTCTTTCAATCTGTTCTCTAAGAGCATTATGTGCTCAATCATTCGCGCCGTTTCGTCCCTTTCGTTGTTCTTCAGAGTATAAACGCTTGATGTTGTGTTGGCGCCAATTTGAATCTTCAAGCGGGAACGAGTTGACCATTTGGCGTATTATGCTGGAATACGCTGGACTGTAGCCACGCACCGTCAAGTGTGCGCTAACTGCGCTTTCTCATCGCGAATGTTAAGATACCGAATGACGAGACAACGTAAGCTTCGGCGATTTTCCGTCCAGCATTAAACCAATGGTATGGCACCGGATTACCATTGTAATATTGACCCGCTTGAATTGGTACGAAACTTGAACCGGGCAAGCAGTAATTATAAGCGTACCAATTTCTATCTGGCTCGATCCAAACAATGCGAATATACACGGTAATACATTACCGCATCTTTTGTCATGCATTCGCCAAGCCAGCTACGTACACCAGACACTGATGATTCTAATTTGGCGCGTTTATGGCAAAACAGTATAATTTGTAGTTTCCTTGTAAAGTGATGACAGCGTAAACAAACCATATTGTACGTTAATAACTTAAATACATGTTTTAATATTTAACAGTTACACCAAGCGATGTATTGCATTACAAAGTGTCTTCTCCTCTTATTAATAGCCTATAATTGGTGTCTGTCAAACCTAATTACAACTTCTATGGCAACAGACACTTCACCCTTAATTTTTTCGCACCTAGTGCGGTTCCTCATGTTAAATATTTTAACTGTAGAGTGTAGTGTATTATATATATATTCCCGCACATGCAGTCTAACCCATGCCGATATTGATGTTGTATGTGATGTTATATGATAATTATGTTCGTAATAGATGAAAGTTATGATGACGCGACGTTGTAATTTTATATTGAATATAGTTAGATCAGCGAGTAGAGCGAATTAAGCTTATTAACAGTTTTGATTATGCGTGTTTATTATACGAGAAAGTTTCTGTCAATAACAACATGCAGTACTGGCTGATTTATGAAACGCTTTATTCATATTTTTTTATTCAGCCCCCTATATATATCTACCTAGAAACAAAATACCTACAGTAAGAGCTTGTGCAATTAAGTCGTCTGCATCCTCTCGCTTATTACATCCATATAGCTACTTTGTTTTGAAGCTGTCGCGCAGCTTAGTTCAATGAATCTTTACGCCGCAAAACCTATTAAAGGACATCGGCAACGGATTTTGTTATTGGCTATTTTTGTTCACGTTGGTTATCTTAATAAGGATATGTATCTTATTTGGGATGAAAATTATTCGATTCGGAGTAAAAAGCGAACGAAGTTGGTCTAATTATGCATATTGTCCGCCATCTTGAAGAAATTCCCGATATGCTAATTTATGCTGAAATACCTTACTGACGTCATTGGCAGGGGAACGGAGTATACAATGTATAAGGCCAGATAATCCCTTTGTAAATAGCTATAGTTTACATACTGTTTTTTCTAAGTTATTTGAGGAAATTGCATAAAAATGACTTGGCAACCTTGTTTATTTCTATAAATTGCCATAATAAGCGTTCTTTCGCCTTGCGGAAGATATATGCAACGAGTATTTACGTCTTAGAGGTAGGCGCGCCGAACATCTTGCGTCAACTTTGGATTACGATGCAATAGTTGGCATAAGTTTGATTTCTTAAAACCACGTTGTAAACCACTTTCTTTTTCGTACATTTTTTCTGGGCGAGGTTGGGTAGGAAATGACGCTTTAGTTTTCTAAAAAACATATAAAAAGTAATACAAACGGACTATGTTATATATTTTTCCACTGTTGCATTCGTGTAGTACGAAGGTCAAAGTCAAGCAATGTATTGTCCTGTGTACGGCTGCAATAGTAATAGTCAACTGAAGACAAATGAAAATGTTAATTTCTTTCGTTTTCCAAGCGGCAAAACGCCTGAGCAGAAGAGCCGTAGAGCGGCCTGGGTAGAATTTTGTAAACGAAAAGCATTCAAACCCTCACCTTATACAAGAATTTGCTCGCTTCATTTTGCCGAGGAGGCATATGAACCCTCGCATTCTCCTCAATTCCTCGCAAGCATTGGATACACAGAGATAACGAGCTTGCGTTTAAAGCCCAATGCTTTACCAACGCTTGACAAGCCCACGATCAGCGTTAGCGTTTCTAACGTGTCTGCATCGTCGCAATCGAAGAGAACAAGGAGACAAACCGAGAGGAGACAACGTCAAAAGGTACCAGTACTTGAAAGATACATTTCACAATATAGCTTTAATAAATTCTGCTTCTTCCATATCCTTATATTTCTTCATTGTTTCACAATTTGGAATCTTGAAGAATGGTTAAAGTCACGCTGATCAACGGAGGATGAAAATTTGTCGAATGCGAGCAATCTAAGCGATAAAGAAGCAGACCTTCGCATAGACTCAGACGCAGTTTGTGAGGAAGAAATAATAGGCAGTTCAGATATCTCTTTTACTAAAGCGAAGACATTTACGCTCCACGATTAAGATCAAAACACACTCAGACCTCGCTGAAACACACAAATAAATTACGCACAGTCAAAACACAGACATACATAACAACAGAATCGCCGTGCTTTAAACAGTTATTTGATACTGCAAACCTGTGTGCAAACTTAAGGCAGACCTAACTAAATCGCAAGAACTGAATACGACTGTAAGTGTAAATGCAGCTTTAACATCTTTAGAAGCCGAACTTACGTTAAACATCGAAGAACTACCTTCTGCATCATATATGACATCATTAGAAACTTTTGACCAAAGTAAAATTAATACCATAACTAACCCACAGCTTACTAAACCAACATTGACTGACGAGGAGGAAGTAGAGTCTGAGCAAGACGAAGATGGTGGCAACCTCACCGATGACGATGATTACATTTCTGAAGCTGTGTCAACTGAAAGTGATTCAATGACTGAAGAGGAATCTGGAGCTGTAGAATATGTGTTATCTCAGGGGAAACCCCCACAAAAGCAAATGAAATTTTTGGTATTTGAGGAATCCATAATGCAAGCGTTTGGTACATGCATACAGTGTGGCTCGAGATGCACAGTTACCTTGAAGCATACTACTGGATCGCTGTGTTCTATTTCTGTATCATGCACAAATTTCATGGCCCACAGTTTTGTATGGTCAACTGGACCAATCTGTAACAATTTGCCTGTGTTCAACCTGTTACTTGCATCTGGTATACTGTCCACAGGACTGGAATCAACGAAAGTTCTACGACTCTTTAGTGCCCTAAATATACCAAACATAAAGTACCGTGAATTGTCAAATCTCATGAAGTACTATGTGATTCCAGCAGTCTATCGCGTCTGTGGACGGGAGCAATCATCAAGACTTGAGGATATTAGAGGCAAATCTATTACAGTTGCTTCAGATATGCGTGTTGATAGCCCAGGTCATAGTGGTCTTTTTGGTTCTGGCAGTACATTGGATTTAAGCAGAAACTTAGTACTTGATACACAAATTATTAAGGTAAACAAATATCTATATAGTTATATATATTGACACAAAGCCATCAGGGTCTTTGGTGGCACCACATAAAACAAACTGACAAACTAATAATTCTTCGATTTGTCTGAGTTAATACTTTTATTGATATTTTTTTATGCTTCAGTCTACTGAAGTAAAAATTCCTAATGCCATGGAGTTAGAGTCATTGAAGAGGCAAATTGCATACCTGGAAAAAAACAAGGTGAAGATCGACAAACTGGTAACGGATCGGCATGTGCAAGTGGCATCATACATGGCAAACGAAAAACCACACGTTGAGCATTCTTATGATGTCTGGCATGTAGCAAAAGGTAACATTTTGATACTTGTTTACAACATGCAGTTCATTAGACTCTACCAACTAGTAATTCAACAGACAAAAGTTTTTAATTTATGTTTCTGAAAACAAGGTTTATAAATATATTTACAGGAGAAAAAAAGAAACTGATAAAAGTTGCAAAAAAGAAAAAATTCAAGTCAATTAAACCTTGGATTGGTGTATGCACTGCAAAAAATCAAATTCTAGTCTAGAATAATATTCTTATTTTTTAGATTATTTTTCTTATTTTAAGTAAATATTTCTTATCAAGAAATATTTCAAGAAAAAAAATCTAGTTTTAAGAACAAAAATCTTAAAATAAGAAAATATAACTGGGCAAGAATATTCGAGAGAATTTTTTTCTTATTTTAAGAATAACATTTTTCCATCCTAGAATAATATTCTTATAATTAGAAAAACAATCTTGAAATAAAGTTTAATATTATTTATTGCATATATCAAAACCTTTCTTTTGGCAACTTTTGCATGGCTAAAACGAGATATGATATTGAATTGAATAAACCTAATTGTAATATTGTATATCTTTCACTTTTTTGTCAAATTTGAAGCTGAACGGCTCTGTCCTGAATTGTCGCAGTTTCAACATGGCAGATATCACAATGAATTTGAATATGCCCAATGAATTGCTGCTATTGAAAAATAACAATTATATATGAATTCAAATCATTTGCAACAATCGTCTATCTACGCTTTAATGAAGATGGTATGATCCACCGCAAAAAATGAAGTGTAAATTTACCCAAGATTTTGCGTAAATATCACCGACATGTTATGACATCACGGTTAATGCTGTCAAATGTTATGACATGCGATACGTTAAACGATAAAAATTTTATATTATTGCAATTGGCATATAATTTTTTTAGAAAATCTGTCTCATTATTCGCTTATAAGAATTTTCATCATTTTTTTATAATCATTTTTTTGGCCAGATTATAAATGCTTCCTATAGTTTCAAGCTAGCGATAGATTGGGAGCGCTTTTTGGTGTATGTATTTTAGAAGACAAGGACCACGCGCGCAATGAGTTGTGGGATATCGTATATCAAGTATCAAGTGTGATTTACAAATTTTCGACTTTTTCGTTTGAGCATATTTCGCTCAAGAATATCGTGTTTTTTTATCATATTTGGTTCTGGATAAGTGACTCCGAATCCTGCCGAAGGCTTATTGATCCCAGGTATGAAATATTACTGTTTATATCGTATAATTATAACGTACATCGACCGTATTTACTCATTTTATCTTGTGGCTGTTATAGCCTGTTGTGGCTGTCTGCTATTGCTAAATTTGAATTTGCGCGCGAGAGGTTTTATATATTGAATTATTTCATTTCAATTCCGTCAAATATTAGTTAAAATCAACAATTCAAATTTTGAATAAACATAGTAAATACTGGGTTACACTTGCCACTTGGTTGACAAAACTGGAGAAAGCATGTTTGAACCCACATAGTATATTATAAAACAATATGTGAATATGAATAATATTTACTTGCTGATTGCTTCAAGCCTATTATTAGCCAAAACATGAAAATTATTTGAGAGTATTAAACTTACAATTACAATGTTATCTATCTGAATCATAAAATTGTTAACTCAATATATAGAATTGATTATAATATTAGCTTATCAGTTCAGTGCATATTTCTTGGTTTAAGCTAACCTGAGTATCAGGCCGTACTTTTTAGGGCACAGGCACGCCTGATCGTGGGCAAAGGGGAGAAAAGTACGGCCTGACACAAAAGTGGCATTTTGCCTGGTTGTTCAGTCCAGAATCTGGACTGAGCGCTGATTGGCCGATTAGACAAACGATTTTTAAATCTGTCATTTGATTGGCTGGTGCTAATTAGATTATACTATTGTTGTTGATATATTTTATAATTATAGCCGGCCCACTAAACGGCTGAATTTAAATTAAAACTGCAGTAAAATTAGAAAATAATCGCAAATTAGCGAAATATATTGCAAATGTAGCTTATATTAAATCGCCATCAGATTGCACTATCGACTGACGTATAGTTATAAAGTATACTTAATATATATATATATACTTTATAATTATACGTCACTGTTTGTTGATAAATACGGCAAGCGCCATGTAAAGCTCATTGTAGTCACTGAAGGAGGAGAGAGCAATCGGGTGGCGATTAAATATAAGCTACATTTGCAATATATTTCGCTAATTTGTGATTATTTTTGTTAATTTTATAAGTTCATTGCAGTTTTAATTTAAATTCAGCCGTTTAGTGAGCGCCTATGCTATAATTAGATTGTTGTTGTCGTTGTGTGAAATTTAAATTTCTCCTGCGACATTTTGATTGGATACTAAATATAAACTTTGCTGTGGGCGGAAAGCGATCAGGTTAAGTTTTGTGTCAGGCTCTATTTGTAAAATAGAGCCTGATACTCAGGTTAGGTTTAAGCATGTAAATGGATTGACTTTAAATTAATATTTAACCCATTGGCATTGAGCTGGAATGTGCCCCAGTGCGCCCTACTTTTTTTCACAGGTCTGTCTAACGCCAGTGCCTTCACTCATGTCTAACCCTGCATATATGTGTGATATATTGTGCCTGTTTATGTGATAATGGCATGGCTGGACAGGAGGTTTTAATCCAGGATGGTGTGTTTAATATATAGACGGAATACACCCCACCTCTCCGCCTGGCAGGGATGATAGAGTGCTTGTATAAGAATTTCTCGTCCTGGCAGATGCAATCCCGGCAACAAATAATGGGATCCTGCCTAGGCCAGAAAGAAGTAGAATAATTCACTTTACCGTAAACAGTCAATAGAGTTCATATTGCAAGCTAGATGAGATGGGGTGTTAACGGGATATTACACTAGGCCGTACATTGCATAAGCTGCATTGTGCCACAACTTTATTGTTTTATTCCGTATAATGTCAGATGATTTTACCTATCAGTGCCATCACTCAACGGGTTACTGAAACAAGTAGCACTTATCTCACATACAACTGAGGTTAAATCATAACCATATGAATGTTTTCTGGAATATGAGGCAATAGCATATTAAATCACAAATACCAACACCATCGCTGTTACATTTTATACCAATCTAATGGATTTTGCTGCAAAAATTCTTTCTCATGTTATAAACTCTATCCTACATAATAGAATGAATACAAATAAATTACTCATTTCCTTTCATGGGAAAATTTGAGTCATTATGGTCAATTTGAGTCCGAGAAATCATGGTCCCACAGTCAAAATGTCAAATTTTAACCCATGAAGTTGCATCGCACCCTTTATTGTATTCCTGTCTAATGCCAGACAATTTTATTTGTGAGTGGGAGAGTGATGGTGGTTAATTGGTTAAGGATGCCAAGTTATATCATTATGCTTTCAGTAAGTAATACAGTTGTAATTTAACACTTGCCCGGGGCAAGTGAATATCATTGTCACAAAAAGCTGGGCATCTTCAAGTTTATGTTTTCATTGCCAGATAAATTTTTTATGCAGTGCATGTTGTACTTGTGCATGGATTTAAATTTTGTTTTTCTGTGGGCCACAGCTAGTCTGAAACAGTATAACATAGCCATCTAGAGCAGTGGAAGAATGTGTCGACATGTTGTCCCCTTAATTTATAGCCCCTACCTGGGTACCCCAGTGGCCATTGTCTCATGGCAAGTGAATTTTATTCACGGCAACTAATTTTCATATCCAACTTGGCAAGTTGAACTTGCCCTGATGACAAATGGTCAAAAAAGTATTTAAGTTATACCACTGACTACTGAGTAAGGTATATATGAGCTACAGTATCATGGTTATAAAAACTCTGGAATAAGGTATGCAGTTATTTTCAAAAAATTTACATTATCACTCATCAATATGTCTGCAGGTTGTTGAAGAAGGAGCCTCAATCAATCCAAAGAGGAGCCTCAATCAATCCAAAGAAGCAGAAGAAAGTGCATACATGAGGAATTGTGAAAAGCAGCAGCTGATTGACCAATTGGACCCACTTATTTACTATCATGGCATTTCAAAAGGAGTTATGAAGCCACCACATGAACAGTGATCTGGTAATTAAATGATATCATTTTGTTTTTTTATTAATTAGAGTACCGGTACCAACATTGGATTCATAAGCACCAGGGGTGGAAAAAGTATCGGACCACGGGACCATTGGTCCCAGAAAATTTTTTGAGTTCCCAGAAAATATTTTCCCAAGAATGAAAAATTGTAATAATTCAAATAAAAAGAGAAATTCAGAGGAAAATTCACACCAATTGACCTCAGAAATGCAATTATAAGTGTAACCATCTTAATAGTGCGATAGTTTATAAATGTATTAGACTATAGAACGATGTAAAAAATGTTGTATGGCAAATGCATTTTTAGTTGATCTGGGACAAACTTTTTGGGGGGAGCATGCATGATCTCCCTGATAGTGTCCCCTAAAAGTGCCCTAGCTTTTTTGGTATCCGTATTTACCCTTAGGATCAGACCCTTGATGCATGTCAGTTTTATGTTATATTTTAAGATTCTTAGTGAAATATTATTTCCAGTGAAATATTTTTTCCTGTGAAATATAGCATGACATCCAGTTTGACAACTTGTTAGTGTCACACAATTACAGTGTCCAAATGTCCATTTACTTGACTATTTGCAGAAAATGTTCAATGTTCTCTTGCGGTCCCAGAAAGTAAAATATTTTTTCCACCTCTGATTAGCACCGACATTAGGTGTCGTTAATAGAAAATAATAAATGAAAATTGCATTTTGGTTTATGCTGTACCGGTAACTAATAAATGATATGAAAAATCAAAATTGCATTTTTTAGCTCACAAAATATCACAATGATTTTATTAAAAATGTACCGGTAACTTAATTAATATTATTTTTTATGTATGTAATTCTACAGAAAGTACTTCACTTAATGAAGAACATTTAATTCACTCTTCAAATCAAAAAGTCAACCTGCTAAGAGCAAACTGGACATCATAAACTTTGTTGAGGTGAGGTTATAGTTTCATTTTATAAAATTCATTTAGTAAGGCCTGAATCAAATTTAGTGTACACTGTACATATACATCTTCTTAGTTTTGAGCTTTCCTATAGTTGAGATAAAGTTAATATGGGCTAACAAAAACTATCTGCCAGTGTCTCTTGTCCCATCGCTCTGTCTATAACCCCAGGGGATAGCTTGTTCAGGGGTGGAAAAAGTATCAATAATTCAGAAAGAAAAAATTGTAATAATTCAGATAAAAGGAGAAATTCAGAGGAAAATTAACACCATGACCTCAGAAATGCAATTATAAGTGCAACCATCTTAATAGTGCGATAGTTTTGCGATAGTGTATAAATGTATTAGACTATAGAATGATGTAACAATTGTTGTATGGCAAATGCATTTTTAGCCAATCTGGGACACTTGATTTCAAAATTTTCTGGGAGAGCATGGATCCACCTGATAGTGCCCCCAGTGCCAATTTTGCATCTGTATTTACTTTAGGATCAGACCCTTGATGCATGTTATCTATATTAGCTTTATGTTATATTTTAAGATTCTCAGTGCACTGAAATATTTTTTTTCTGTAAATATACATGTAGCATGACATCCAGTTTGATAACTTATTAGGTGTCACACAGTTACATTGGCCGAGTGTCGATTTACTTGATCATTTGCAGAAAATTTTTCAATGAACTTTTTGCGGTCCCAGAAAGTAAAATATTTTTTCCACCCCTGAGCTTGTTAGTGAAAACATAAGCTGTTAATTAATGAGGGTTGTGTAGTTGTTACCAAAACTATTTTTGTGGGGTTTTTTTTCCTCAAAAGGAAGGAGACACAGACTTGACTACCTGGCTGCAAATGAGACCCAATGACATACTGTATCAGGGCTGATCATGACATGGAGCTACTGGCAACATTCGAGAATAGCGAAACTGTAAAAGCCATCTTTACTTCCTGGCGTTGTTCTACTGTACCTGCTCGACTTAGACTACCCATCCAGACTCAGCAGTCTGACATGGTAAAGGCTTTTCAAGAAATTGAACAATATTGCTACGTGTGAGAACTTTTACATTTATCTATCAGTAATTACTTTAATAACCTATTCATGTACAGCTGGTAAATATATTATTTTAAACATTCTTAATTGTTTTTATATTGTAGGATGACAACAGCAAAAATCATGCCAAGATTATTATTCTAGTTTCATATTGTCATTTAAGAAAAATATTCTTAAAAGCCATGCACACCGGATCGAACTAGAATAATTTTCTTAGCAGGATTTCAATTCAAGATAGTTTTTCTAATTTTGTCCCATGGGTAAGTAAAATTTTCTTATTAAGATTATTTTTCTTATTTCAAGAAAACGTTCTAGCAAAATTTTCTTATTACTAGAAAATAATTCTTGGGAAACTAAGAATTTTTTTCTAGAAATAAGAAAATTTTGCTTGAACGTTTTCTTGAAATAAGAAAAATATTCTTGATAAGAAAATTTTACTTACCCACGGGACAAAATTAGAAAAATTTTCTTACCAAGAATTTTGTTCTAACCAAGATTAATTTTCTTATTTTAAGAAAAATTTTCTTGAAATCTGATTCTTACCTAGAATATTTTACTTACCCACGGGACAAGTAAAATTTTCTTAAAACAAGTAATTTTGTGCTTAAAATAAGTAATATTTTCTTAAAACAAGAAATTGATTTTTTGCAGTGTGTATATGTTATGACTTATGTCCTGTTACATCTGTACAGTACTAGGTTTTAAATTGACATACTGTAGATTGAAACAAGTAGCTAACGTAAGTACTGTAACAATGACAAAGAAAAACGAGTTTTGGGACATTATTCATCTTTGTTCTTTTAGTCCATTATTAACCATATCTACTGGGTTGGCAGTACAAGCACAAGGGAGGATGAGAAAGAAGAAAAATGGAGAAGTATCCTAAACCATATTGTAAATATTCATGTACACAGTGACCACAAAATTTTTACTAATTGCATTCATGGTACAATTGACCGAGCATGGCTGACACCAGGTAAATTCGTAGATAATAACTTATATATGTGAAACAAATTTCGAATGAAAACACTCTAGATAATGAAATGTAATTAAAATTCATAACCAATAAAATGTTTTAGGATCTGCAGCTCACAAGATGTTAACAGAGATGGTTACTAGGCCAAGACTTATAAAGGCTATTCGAAAACTCTCACAGTATTTTCAGACTTCTGGCTTGGAAGCTAAACACTCACTAGACAATTTGCTGGCCACAAAAATACCTATTATTCATATCATTCACTAAGTGCTCGGTGAGTTGTAATACATTGAAAACTGTCCTTTTGGTATCCCTGGCTATTACACATTATGGAACTACTACCATGTAGTCACATTAATATGTAATAGTAGACAGACTTTTTCCAAGTTATCTTCATAGAATTATGAAGACAATATTTTAAACATTTGACTAAGTATATTTATATATTTAAATATATTTATATTATTATTAATAAACATATTTTCTAACCTAGACTGTATTGTTCAAACTTACATTACAATGAAAATAGTACAAGACAACAAGCTAGGACAAAGGATGGCAAGCTGAGATAATTCTTCACAAAAGTTAAAACTGATCAAAAGCTATAGTAGCGACAACGTATTGTTTTGCTGCTCCCCTGCCAATGACGTCAGAGGCCTCAAATGACATGAAAGATAATTTTCCAAAATGTGCTTTCAAAATGGCCGGCGATATGCATAATTAGACCAAATTCGTTCGCTTTTTACTCTGAATCGAATAATTTTCATCCCAAATAAAATACATATTCTTATCAAGATATCCAACGTGAACAAAAATAGCCAATAAAAAAATCCGTTGCCGATGTCCTTTAACTTAAAATTTCCTCTTGGCAGCAAACACTTATACATTTTTACCTTATTATCGCTTCTAGCCTAATTGTGTTAACACATCTTATCTTGACACTAATCTTAATGTAATTGCTTTTCTTCCTCACAATAACTTATTCGCTTGACGCTCTCGTCAGCTATAGCCTATATGTCATTGTAATGATGACTTTTCGTTGTTTAGTGAAATTATATCATGTGAAAATTTATTAACGTTTGAGTATTTTCTCGCGAACTCGCAAACGTTTCATTTTGCAAGCAATGAACAACACCGGAACAGCCTGGTGTGTAGATTTTATGCTGAAAACCTGTAGTTTCATATACGCACGCAAGTTTCTCATTGAAGTCATGTTTATAATTTGTAAAGCAAATGGCTTACGATAAAACGCTCTATACCGATCAGTCAATGGAAATATGCATATGAAATCAGTATTGAATAAGGAAAACATTTAGCACGTCATGGTGTTTGCTGCACGAATGTAGGCTAAGTGTAAAAAATTAAATTCGAATTAAATTTAACTCGTGTTGTCGGAAATCTCGATTTCTCAAGCTCATCCTTAGCGCTAATAGTCAACTGAACCGAAGTTACCAAACATAGACGTCATTTGAGATATGTATATGATTTACACCATGACCACAATTATTACAGTGAAATTAAGAATTTTCTCTCACTATAACGCCATTTGATATGTGCTTGCGACCTAACAGGATTATACGCCCCAAATAAACGCAAATCTTACAAAAATGACAAACGAATAAAAAGTGACCGATTCAGTATCATGGCATGTCTTCTAGAACGATTATAGAACAGACACGCCGAAGGCAAAAACCTGATGTATAGGTACTCCCAAGAGATCGCACTATAATGTGACTTTCTGAACTGGAGACATATAATTTTTTTGTTTTAATTTTAGTTGATTTGTCATCATTTTGAGCAGAACCAAACTTAAATTAAACCATTTAATAAGACCATATATAAATTTACTGTAATATCTATTTGACTCTAATATTTACTTCACTCTAATATTATGACTTCCACACTAATACTGTATATACTTGATTCTAATCATATTAATATACTTACAAACGTACTGTATCTATATTTATATTTCTTATTTTGTGGTATTAAACATTAGCGATTTAATATACTACAGTGTGTCCACCCAAA